TTGTAGTAGGTCTTACACACCCTATCTCCCCAACTCCTGATTTAGGAACATAGTACTGCAGTGAATAGATATCTCGTAGTAGGCCTCACCTGCGCAGCCGTTGGGACTACCCTGTTTGCAAGGAAAAATGAAGGGTAATGTGACTCACAGACATCAGATTTCAGTTAGCTTTAGTGTGAGTCGGCGGAATTCGGTCCTCAGATCCTCCAGACTCGGTCAAAGAGTTTTAGTGCGCCAGCCTATATTCTTCCTGAGTAGAATAGTTAAGTCTTGGCGCATGGTCCGGGAGGGGGGGGGGTGCTTTGGAGCTTGACACCGCGTCTGTGGGCACCAGTGCCTATTGGTAATTTCGAAGATTCGTGTATGCTGCTTGCGTCAGTTTAGACCACGTGGGATGGGATTTTTTCATAACTGACAGTGGGGGAAAAGGGGCTATGAGTGAACCCAGCTGCGGAGCTCCTGAGCCCACTAGAATTTAGTCGATCGGGCTACGCGTCGTCTGAATATCAGGCCAGCAGGTGTTGGCGGCGATGCTGGGAGCATGTGCTGGAGACAAATAGTCTATTCTGGTAAGCATTCTCTTACCATTGTCGCATCGAGAACAAACCCAAAGCGGACAATAAGAGTCGCCGGGACCAGTCCCGTCATTCCAGGCCCCGAAAACAATCAACAGATCGCCGCGAAGGAGACTTTCAACAGACTGCGAGGTTTATTTATCAGGCTGGTAGGTAGTTGGTGCTGGTGCGTACACGCAGACGACAGCGGTTTGTAAAATGACCGTTCAGCCGCACGCAAGTCATCCCGCCATTGACTGGATCTCATGCAAGTGGTGTACGGCTCGCTCGTCGCAAGGATGATCGTCATAATCCAGTCGAACAGGAGTCGCGTGGACCGCTGTGGTGTAGGGCGACGCGGGGGTTGACTACTGGGATCTTTATTTTTCGAGCCACTGATTCGGAGATCCAGACTTCAAATGGACAGCAGACATCCACACTATGATGACGCAGACTGCACGCTTGGGTACCGGAATCCAGGAACGTTCGCACACCCCAGCACCTAATACCAAGAGTCCGCTCTCGACTGAGTAGTCCGGTTCACCTACTGTTCGCCCTCACCACTGGACCAGGGTTGTCGAGCGCGCGGTCTCGCGGACGACGAAGCATGAATCGCGTATACATGAAGCGAACATTTAATGAGACTTCTTGGGGAGTATGACCACAGGCTGATCCCCAACAGCCGCTCGGTCTGGTCGCGGTTGTCTCCTAACTACGAGGTAACGGTGGCGAGCAAGCCCATTTAACGGAGGCTCTGTAGGAAGTTCTAGAATGCCAGACCACGTGCTGCCGCCGTCTTGGAGAAGGTTCTAAAAAGCGCGCCCCGTTGGGAGCGCGCCCGCCGAACTTTTCCATATTTATACCCTAGGCACTTATTCGCAATTTAGCTTCTCATGAAAAGTATACATATAATCAATTAATATAATCCTAAATTAAACAAAGTAGCCCTGGCCTAGGTTTGTTTAACTTTCCCCCCTTGACCTACCTCCAACCAATCAACAATGGCGGACTCAACCTTAACGCCTTCGGCCCCTGCAGAAGCTATAAATACGGGCGAGGATTAACCTCCGCTGGCCCCGTGACAGGCCGCCAACCTTCGGACGCGGGACCTCTGTCGCTGTCTTCGCCGGATCCCCGTGCCTCCGCCAATTCTTCTTGGACAATCTCCTCTTGCCCTAGTTTACCCTTGTAATTAGGTTCCCCCTTTAGTTTCTTACTGTACATAGGACGGTCGAGAACATAAATTGTCAACGTCTTACCTTCCTTGTGCCGTCTCTCGTACTGACATCTGGGCTCGTTAAAGCCCAGGGTCGCCGTGCACCAATGGGCTTTGCATCACTCGATGGAACAGCCGACGTGCCAGATATCAATCCTCAATGCCCTGGTAGCATTGATGCTATTGATCCGCGGCTGCTTATTCCCCAGAGTCTGCTTAGTTGGCAGTTAGCTTTCGATGAAGGCCGTTCTACCACCCGCCAACTGTGAACGCGCCAAGTAGCCAGCAACTGGCTACACAACATCTCGACACTGGCCTGAAGGCAAGATTGTGCATAATGCTTAGGAAATCCTTCAGACTAAACTTCAAACTGGTACTTTACAGCTTCGATTTTACACTGAACGCCTCAAACGGATGTGTTGTGCACGCTGCAGTATTTTATCTAGCTCAAAACTGCCTGGAAATTTTCTGATAACAGTAGCTTGTATAGGGACGTCGTCAAGATGACTGGACTCCTGTTTGCACGATTTGTCCCGCACACGTCGGCGGTGAGCTCGTAGTACGTCTTCAGCAAAACCAGTCAAGGACACAGCTAGGGTCGGACCAAAGCTTCCGCGTGAGATCGGATGAGTAACCCACTGCAGACACTGCCGAATGATTAAACGGTATTCATAGTCTTTACGAGAATTTGTGAGGCATTGATTCAACGGCTTATCTCTTGTGCAGACAACATTCAGGATACCAGCAGGCAGAAACTTTATTGTCAATCCATCTAGCTGCGTTGTTCCTCGGTGATGATTCATTGCATTTCGACTGTGTGACGATGTCCGTCTCCATTTCGATAAGCTAAATGACTGTTACTGCACTGACACCTCGGTGAGCGCATGGGCGCGATGAAGGCTGTTCCCCTGATCGATCCGTTATGCAATTATGCGGTAGCCCAGCCGGCCAGACTTGACGACCTGATTAGTAGACGGCCATTTGCGAACTATTCGCTCGCTTTATAAGTGGCTAGTTTCGTGGCTTTGGGCCCCTTACCATCCCGCATGTGCGATAGCCCGCCCCCCTTCGCCGCGCTGAGTGAATGTTCCCACTAGGTGAAACGAACGCACGTGGCTCCAGCAGTTGAATCGTATCCCACTCCGAAACGGTGCAGTGGCGAGGGTTAAAAACAGGGCAGTTTTACGCTGAGACTACTAAGGTGCACAAAGACCGGCAATGATCAGCGTCCCGCCGCTGTCAGCCAGATTACCAACAGAACAAAATAAGGCAAAACGATGGAAGAATAACTCCAAGAACTCCAAAGGCAGCATGGGATTTAGTGGGCTAAGGCATACAGTCTGTGGTTGCCGCGGAACTCTGCTCATAACCAAGTTTTTTGGGCACAGGTCTGTCGGCCTAGTGGCGTTCCTGTGTGGTGCGCGGATATAGCGGCATTGATGTGGTATCAAGCCCAACTACTTTTCGCGCCGCTGTCTTCGGAAGACTCGCATGGTGTAGTGCAGTGGGTTTCGAAAACCTACGCTTTATGATTGACCAGCATGCAAGGCATCGGTGGTTCCGAGGCACATAAAACTTCAAAGGTAAGGGAATACTTGCAATCCGATCGTACGGAGTCCTTCGTGGGAAGGTTTTCACAGGTGCACACAGAGAAGAAAATAACTCACAGTTAAACGTCTCGAGGTCAGTTAGACGGCCATGGAGACGTATCTGGCCTGCAAACGACAACTTGACGTGAGGAATGGGTTAGACCACCGAAATCGAGCGACTGTGCTAGGCTAAAGGGAAGCAGCAGGAATGGCAGATCACAACACCAGCGAACAATGCTGCTCCCGCCTACCCCTGGCACAACTCATTGTGGCTGTACACTAAAGGACCTCACCAGCCTTGTGACACGTCTCAAGCTTTGACGCAAAGACAATTTCAGCGTTGCTCTATGGAACGCCGCCAGCATTGGTCAACGCCGACCCACTCCCAATCCTAGTACCGCGCTGGCCTACTTGTCGCGAGGCCTCAATGTGAGGTGGTTGATCGAACGCCCTACGCAGTCGCCAAGCCAGGATAGGCGCGAACTCCTTTAACTATGACTTTCGAACGGCGTGTTAAGGCCCACAGAGCGTTTTCGGAGCATTCTGTCCAAATTCGAGTTCAGGGAAGAGCTTGCCAAGCACATCCACCGGAAATAACATTCATCACACGCGTCCAAACTGTCACCTGTAAAGCATCGTGATGTAATAGAATTAGAACAACTCAGAACAGTCGAGGCTATAAGCGCACAAATCCGGTCCCGTTTTGCCATCTGCCGGGAGAAAGTAGTAAATGTCCGTAACTGAAATCTGTGATGCCGCTGTCGGTGGAACGGACACTTGTTCTGGCGGTTCAAGCTAGGCCTTGCAATGATTATCCACTCTGACGATACCTGAGTGTCGCGAAAAGGTCGGCCGCAAATAATACTGAGCTGTACGCAGCGGCGTCAAATGCGTCAGACGCCGGTGACGATCAGAACTACTCAACTACTTTCCAAGTTAACGACGAGCCCCCCGGATCAAACGGATGTTTACGAGGGGGTTTGTCGTCGAAAAATCAGTCGAGGTCGAGAGCCGGCATATGTGCTCGGACTACTAACTAGTGAACCCTCCTCTTTCTCTGCAGCGATCTTACCTCTCATTGGCCTATAGTGTCGTGCATGATGCCGAGGCCGTCTAACGATGAACTCAGAGGACGAGGCTCGTGGCGATACTCTGGCGCACAAGCCCCATGAGGTGATTGAGCGAGCGCGCTGAGATGAGCCTGCTTCGGATAGGTGTTCTGGCACTTTCGCGTGCGAGTTCAAATAGGGTGTAACACAAGAGAACTACGGCAGCAAAGGATCACTGACGTTCATGTCAAGGTCTTGACCGTTGTTATTCTCGAAGTACTATAGAGCGTACACGAATTTAGAGAAAAACCAAACAAGCCCGACTCCGGGGTGGAAGCAGACACACCGGCCAGATAGTTTTCAACGAGGCGACTCGAGGCTATCAGGCTTATTGACCTCGACGTAGCCGTCAAGGCGCCGACGACGTGTACAACGCAAATATATACTCGTATTACGTACGGTCTGCTTTGGGGAATAACAAACAGTTCAATCTAATGACAGGCAGAGGTTAGCCACAATAGAACGGAAAATGTGACCAGTGAACAGCGTGAACAAAACACATCGAATGCCATATAAATTTTATTCAACCGTCTTAGTTCTTCTTGGGTTGCGATGAGGCAGCAGGGGCCTTAGACTTGTTCTTTTGCATCATACCACTCGCCCTTCTCAAAGTAAGCTAGGGAGAACATAATAGATGATAAGAGGGGCTTACCATTTTCAGCTCGCGGCGGTACTTCTGACGGCAAACAAAGTTCCGAAGTTTCTGTAGAGTTCGCCTTTGGCCTCTAACAAACTTGGTCCTGACGATTGCCTGACGTGGCTTATGGTCATATCCGACCTTCTTTGTGAGCACATACACGCCTTTCCCGCCGCGTTCTTGCTTGATGCCAATGGCTTTCTTGTGAACAAGCCCATTGTACTTAAAGCAGTTCTTCCCCTTCAAGTTCAGAGGATCGCGGCTGAATTGTTCCCCATTCCTCTTCATAAGGAAACAATGGGTGTTCTTAATAAGCATCCAGTGCAGGTGGGAGGCCATCCTTCTGAGAGAAGCACGAGCAAGGCCAAAAGAACCGCGTAAAGAGCGGATTTAAACAGAGTTCAATATCCAACCGTAAGATTCTGATATATATTCGGGAACCTATATAAGAGCGCGTTAACTTCTGTGTAACATAGCGGACGTCAAAAGAAATCACGAGAGCAGGAAACCCATACTAAACAGTAGGGAGTTCAGGAAAAGGATAAATAAATGGGAAGTCATGGGGGTGGGGTTTACGAGCAAAAACGTGTTTGCGTAGGATACTTAGTGATCCTACTCACATATCCAGGCGAATGATTCTGGCCCTTTAAGTTCAAGTTTTGGCCCGACAGTAACATAATTGTTAACAGAAGGTGGGAAAATTTTGCACGTTTTCTTTTATGGTCTTAATGAGCAGTATGATACAAGCAACCACTGGCCGCCGCGTATCTATTCTCGGGACATCGTACCAGGAATCAATGAGGTTGGTGGCCATCACCATGCCTCTACTTATATTTTTTTACTAGAACACAAAAATAAAAATTAAACTAACCGTTGTACCAACTCTTTTACTAATACCAACAGATTTCGAATTGAGTCCTTGTTGATTAAATAAAAGCTAGTCCTGGGGAAAGCAGCAAAAACATTCCTAAATAGTAGGTTAAGGGGAGCTCAGGTAACCTCATTTTTTCAGACAAGTAATTTTGGAAGAAAAACCATCTACGCCCGGGGGCGGCGTGAAGAAATACCTTTTAATATTTGGGTAGAAGATAATTATAACTAGCGCTCGGGAAAAACTCGGGCTGTTTTGAGGGTGGCCAGCCAGCCGGTTCTGACATAAATTTGAAATCCGGGAAATAAGTCGACCGCAGCCTGCACTGTTTGCGTTGTCGGCTACGAACCCGAACGTCTTTGTGAGATTTTCATTGGGATAGAACGGCAGACAGTTAAGAAGCGTCAAAATAAACACGCTCGTGATGTTGGGTTGCGGCGGACCTCGGCCGATTCCAAAAGGCGGGTAAGACCACGGCATCTTAGTGACCGAAGAGGTGTTTTCACGATAATTTACGCCGAGAAAGACGGATGGGGCACAACAAGTGCACTTCATGTGACTCCGACAATTAGTCAGGGGGGCGAGTTGAGGGTAACACTGCTTTCCGTTCGAAATCTCACTATCCAGGATTTTTTCAAGTTTGTTTATAATCGAAACATTTGGCATATTTCTGCGTCAATGTTCAACTGAATTTTATTAGCTGTCGAAAATAACACACAAAGTCCTTTACACTCTCTTCAATTAACTATGACCGATGTTCAGCTTGCTGTCGACAAAGTAGATCTTTCGGCCATCGTGCGTTTACAGAAGTTTATCGAGAAACATGAACACATTTTTATGATTTTCGACTCACTAACAGACTCAAATACATTCACGAATAGCCTAACTAGCCTACCACAAATAGAATCGATTGTACATTTGGTTTCATCAGAAGTCGCGGATAGATCAAAACGCAGACTCAATTTTACTATCCGCAATGTACCCCATACGATTAACCCAACACCATCAATTCAGAAACTTACACATTCGTGTGGCCTAAACATCCGAATAGCTACCACGAAAAGACTTCACTCTAGAAGCAAAATTAAACCAGTCTTAGTAACCTTCTACTCACAGACCGAAGCTGAGCTTATCCTACAAAACGCCGAGTTAAACAGAAATCTTCGGAACCGAAACGCATTTATAGGTCCCGATTTAACACCGATGCAAAGCTTCGGGAAACAGACACCAATTACAAACACAGCAATCAGCACTCCGGTCCCTCAACTGAACCTCTAGCTACTTCCTCTATTTCTGGCAGAAATAAAAAAATGTACAGACCAGCGTAAACAAAGTGACAAACCAACAGCCTCCGTAGATGGACCTCCAGCAAATACTTCTGATTCTAGTTCTCAGGACACAAAACGCGTAAGAGCAAAATCACTTTGGAATGCTGGACAGAAAGAAACAAGGGGGCGCAAAAAAACGACAACGCTCTACTAGAACAGGACGATGACGCCGATCCCGGACTCAGTCATGTGACACCACTAGATAGCAATATAAGTTTTGCTACGTCCCCAAAAAACGATCAACCGGCACTAGAAATCGACTGCCACACAAGACACACAAACCGCAAGGCCTTATTAAGCACACCAGCACAACCAAAACGCCCTAAGTATATAGATATGACAAAAGGGAGTTCTTCAAACTCTAACCAGAAACAAATAAGTTTCTTTAACTGTGCATCGACTCCCCAAAATTCACCTGCATGGCATAGGCATAAGCCAAATCAATCTAGCATTCCACACTTCTTACCATGTAGTGACAACCCCACAAATCACTTCAGCATCTATACCTCCCCAACTCAAACTCCATTTAGGTACAATTACCGCCTGGCTAACCCACCTCACTATATGTACACTCAATCCATACACACTAACCCATGCACTCAGATTTCGCCACACACATCACCATATCCTCCAAGAACCACACGCTTACTTCCACTTAGTCCATCACTCAATCAAAGTACCCTCAGAAATCCTTTTTCACCCCAGACCACCTCCTCTATATCCGACATCCTAAAGATAGCTCTTATAAATTCGAGATCGATTGCCAATAAGATATCTTAACTTCGGACTTTTGTTGAAATATATAACCCTGATATAATTTGCATCACAGAAACATCAGAAAATTAACTTATATCGAATGCTTCGCTATATATCACAAATTATAATTTTCATCGACAGGACCGTGTCAGTAAACGAGGCAGAGGTTGTCTTATCTACATCAAAACTTGCAGTGAACAAAGTGGTTTTGAGGTACCAACCGAAACCTTTGCTGGAGAAGCGTGTTTTGCCACAATAAAATCGAATGCCCAGGAAAACATACTAGTCGGATGCCTCTACTCCCCTCCAGAATGTAATAATGATGTCACAAGCCTCAACCACTTAATAAACAGTATAGCTAACATAATAACTGAATTTAAGATAATCACAGGCGACTTAAACCACTCAGAAATAAACTGGGTCGAAGTATCAGCATCTACCAGGCAGGAGAAATTGTTATCTTCAATTATCTTTAATAACTAGACACAACTAGTTGACAAACCCACCCGAGGAAACAATATACTAGACGTTATTTTCACCAACTACATCTGGTCCGTCTATATGTACTACGACTGCGTAACCTTTGAAAGTGACTACAAAACAATAATATCGACACCACCCTTAAATGCAAAACAAGCACCCCATTTTCGTAACACCCGCCAAAATCCAAAAAAACTCGACAAAGACTCCATGAACAACTATATTTTGTAATTGGAATCGAGCCCTTATATTCTAACAACATCCCTTATGGAAGCAGTTAACCTAGTGTACAGGGTCCTATTTATAATTCGAGATACCTTGCTAGACGAAAGACTCCCATATAAGAAATCACTAATTCCCCACTTCCTTTCAATTAAGCTAAAAAAAAACTAAATTGAGGCAGTGTTTTCCCGGAATAAAGTTGAACAAGGCAAAGGCGACAAAGCATGCACAATTTACTGCCGTCATAAATTTCGACACCTCTCATTGAGCTGCACACGGTCATTGCATAGTGTTCAAGCAACGATCGACCTAGAGAGATAAAACGTGATAGGTAACCTGAAACATGGGTCTAGTATGCGGGTGCATATGGCGAGGGGGGGAGGGGGTGAGAAGTCATCCAAGTATGAGAGAAATTGTGCGGCGTGATTTAGAGTGCAACGTGCGGGGAGCATTCAGTCATGCCGGGGAGAGGGGGGCGGGTGGGGGCGAAATGAGAAGGCGGACATGGGAACAGGGTTTCGTCCATAATCGATAATTACCATGGCAGTGCCAGGTTTACGACGTCAGGAAATTCTGCATGCTTTGTCGCCTTTGCCTTGTTAAAAAAACTAAATAAACTCCTACACAACCCCTCTGTAAGTTATTTATGTACACTTCGACGAATTAGGGAAATTCACGACCTCGTTACGAAAATGGAAACACAAAACACCATAACAGCAGAACTTCGGGCATTCGAATCCCCTGAACGAACAGCCCGGATGTTTCAGGAACAAATGAATAATCATTGGCAGTCAGGCCCACAGGCTATTATTGAGGAATCAGGACAGGTTTTAACAAATGACAACCAAATTGCAAACGCATTCAACAAATAATTCTCAACTTACTACGCAGTCAAGAAGGAAGTGACCTCCCAACTAACCGAAATGACAGAACGCATCCTTATTGTGATCCGTTTTGAGTGATTAACTGTTAATGTAGCAATTAAACAACTATCCAACGCCAACTCTTATGGGACTGACAAAATCCCCCCATGTATTTTGAAG